TCCTAGTAGGCTATCATGCAATACCTACGACTTCATACAGTCGTGTTAAAAGTAATGCCATCGGAGCCAACACCGGTCATCTTGTATGCGTTTTGATAATAATAAATAAATTTCAAAGTACTTTAATCAACTTCTAAATAGAAAATAGAAACTTCGTGTACATTTGACACGACAGCGACCCGATATGCTCTATACGATTTTTTTTTTAGAAATGCTAGATCAATGAGCTGTTATTTTAAATGTATATTTTGTATGAGTGAAGTTTGTCCGGTATACTTAACGTAAATGAGATCTACAACTCGTCAACACCACATCTACAATTAATTTGTATCAACTTAAAACTAATTACTCCTAACATACTAAAAAAGGCTATAAACTAGTTCCTGATTGATTTGATATTAACTGCACCGTTTCGGATGCAAGCGACCTCGGCTAATATATACTATCTTACTCGCAATACCCGAATTCGAACATTGTCCGAAATTTTTACCTACAACACGTTGTGGGTAAGTTTAAATGATTACAACCCGTTCTGAGCAATTTCTTTGCTCATTGAGTAGCGGAAAATACTCACAACGCGTTGGTGGTATTTAGGTTTACTCAGTTGCCGAAATTAACCAATTTTGCACATTCTGGACACAAAAAAGTACCTAGAACGCGTTGTGAGTATTTAGCGTTTACTCAAAACACGTTGTGGACACTAAAAAGTATCCACAACGTGATGTAAGTATTCCACGGTTGCTCACAACGTGTTGTGGTTATTCAATATTTAGCCACAGGCACATCCCAGGCTAACATCGTCTTAATATCTATAAATATAGTGTGGACATATAAATTGTTTTTTTTAACTTATTATTGTTTAATTTAAAATTTTTAATTTTTTTTATTATAAAAATTAAAAATAAATAAGTGCTCTATTAACATGTTTATTTGTTTTTACGTGGTTTATTGTTGTGGCATTTAGAATTACACCTAACGATTTATTTCTACAAGTATTCAAAGGGAAGGGAACATATAAACGGGTATATTCAGAGAATGGGAGAGGATTTTAACAATAATGGCAAGCATCAAAAAAGTAATTATACTTCCTTGTTCTAGATTACTAAACCCAAACTGTTCGAAAAATTAAAAATGGTTCCAATTAATGAATGTAACGGAACTAATTAAGTATCATGCAATAGTTCCAAGGCTGTTTTTAATAAATTGACACTTTCTGCGCCTCACAGGCTTTTAATAAGAAAATAAGCAGCTGGTACTTTCCAGCCGCCGTTCTATAAAAACTAAAGCTTTCTTTGCCAATGAAATGTGATCACTATCATGATTACTTCTAAGGTTCACTCCTTCATAAAATCTATTTTCATCAAAAATCCTTGTTTTTCGTAGCAATTTCATTAATAATAAGATTTACTAAAATATTTTCTGTACAAGCTTTTTTGAAACTTTTCTTTGTAATCTTCTTATTTTTCCTTGTGGAGCAAACTCTTCAAGGAGTAGCCTCACCAGAACATTTAAAAGAACGCGTTGTAATCATTTAAGCTTACCCACAAAGCGTTGTAGGTAAAAATTTCGGACAAAGTCCGAATCGGGTATTGCGAGTAACAGATATATTAATTGTATAGCCTCAATCGTAAGCTACCTCGGCTAAGATTGAGACACAAATTTTATGAATTCGCCTCATTAAGCCGAGGTCACTGCAACGTATTGGCCACTTTTGGGTTAACAAGACCAGTTATGGGTTGTTAATATATGTAGTAATTGTAACAAACAACCTCTCAATAAGGCGAATCCCCTGTTCTAAAATTATCTGTGATCGTTTGCAACCGTGGCATTGCAACCTGTATATCATATAATATAAATGGTATCTACTTGATCAGCTAAAGTCGTGTACTCTATCCTAATATTAATCGATGTCGCTTGCTAGCGTGGCTCTATAATTAATATCACATCAACCCAAAACTAATCAACTCAGTGCTGTGCATCGGCCGCAATAGACTTTGGTTTGTCTTAAAGCAGAGAACCTATGCCTTAGCTTGACTAAGCCGAGATCGCTTGCGGCCGAAGTGTTGCATTGTGCTATCATTTTTTAGTGGTTAAGGCCATAATCGCGGTGCCTTTGCGATAAGCAGTCTGATTGTGAGCTTGATCTGGTGAACTCATAGATTAAATCTTAATATTGGTCGAGGCTGTACAATTAATATCGTATTAACTCAAACTGCACAATTCATTGCAGTACCTCGGCCAAAAGGACATCGTCTTAATAAAGTGAAGTCACTTACGCCTGAGATGTTATAATGTTTTAATCAGTATTGGATACTAGCACTAACCGAATGAATTATGACCATTTAATACCTTGCATTATTTAGTTTTGGCATTTTAGCAGAATTCGAAAAAGATTTTCGGAAGCAGTAAGCATTTAAATGAAATATTGATCACCGAAATCGCTTAAGAAGTAGTCTTGTTTTGAAAAAAATAGTGTACATAAATTAGGACTTAACTTCACATAAGTCGGTCATCCCATAATGTTGTATGTGACATCCTTAAATAACATCACAGATAAGTCTCAAATTTTCACGCTGTATTACTTATTATTGTTTCTGGCAATAATAAATATCATCCCCAAATTACCATCTTAAAGATGCCCTCAATATTGTCCTTGAAACAATCAGTGCCAAGTCTGAAAGAAAAAGTCAGAAATTGCAATAGTTATAAACTAGACTTCAGCAAAAAACCGGAATTACATTGTTCAAAGTTCACATGAAGTCTGAAATTACTGTTCAGAGAAAACAAAATTGATTATAAACCAAACATGATTTTTCATGGCAATACTTATGTGTTCAATAAAAGAATGCGAAGAATATGAACAAAAAACCAATGGACTTGTCTTGTTATTGCACAGGACAGGAAATCACCAACACGGAAACTTTGCCAATGCAGGATAAGCACAAAAGCAAAGTAACAGCTGCAGAAATGAGGTACCGGGTGGTACAAGATCCGTATAGATAATAAGAGGCTCCCAAAAAGATGATGATAGACACCCAGAAAGAAGTAGCTGTCAGTATCAAGAACAAAACATACATAACGTTGGCAGAAGACTAGATACTGCTTCTAAAAAACTAAATACTGCTTTCTGAAGACTAGATACTGCTCTGGAAGATTAAATACTGCTTTCTGAAGACTAGATACTGCCGACAGGTCTAAATACAGCATCTGGAACACTAAATACTGCTTTCTAAAGACTAAAATTGCTTTGTGGAGACTAAATACTGCTTTCTGAAGACTAGATACTGCTGACAGGTCTAAGTACTGCAAAAGAAAGATAAGATATTGTTGGAGAAAACATACATAACGTTGGCAGAAGACTAGATACTGCTTCTAGAAGACTAAATACTGCTTTCTGAAGACTAGATACTTCCGACAGGTCTAAATACAGCGTCTGGAACACTAAATACTGCCTTCTAAAGACTAAAGTTGCTTTGTGGAGACTAAATACTGCTTTCTGAAGACTAGCTACTGCTGGCAGGTCTAAATACTGCAAAAGAAAGATAAAATATTTTGGAGAAAACATACATAACTTTGGCAGAAGACTAGATACTGCTTCTAGAAGACTAAATACTACTTTCTGAAGACTAGATACTGCCGACAGGTCTAAATACAGCGTCTGGAACACTAAATACTGCTTTCTAAAGACTAAAATTGCTTTGTGGAGACTAAATATTGTTTTCTGAAGACTAGCTACTGCTGACAGGTCTAAATACTGCAAAAGAAAGATAAGATATTGTTGGAGTAAACATAAAAAAGGGCGTCAGCGCCACCTTTCAAACGGCGCCCGGATGCAGTGCACCCCTTGCACCCCCCGGTAGCGCCGTCTCTGGAAACAATGAAACATGAACCTGGAAATTTTTCAACATCGTGCATTGATTAATTGGGTCTTATACTTGGATGCTTTTTTCTTATCTCGTTGGAAGCAGTGGTTATAAATTCATTTATAATATGAACGAAATATGCATATTTAACCTTAACATTACATTAACAATATTTTTGTTTCATAGTTTATTTATTTAATTATATAATCAACAATTCTAATTGTTGATTTATTCATTGTTAAAAAGATCACGAGATCATCAATTTAAGAACTTTCTTAAATTTGAACCTGTAGATTTGTAATACTTCGTCCTTAATTTTATTTAACAAATTTTTTGAACTTTAATTTTGTAAATTTAGTAGCTAATAGTCTGATTTTCAACTTTGATATGTGATCTTTTTAACAAAAGAAAAAGAAATAGTCTCTGAAGATGGCCAAGGTCCGAAACTAGTAAGACTTAAATTCTATATAAAATAAAAACCAGTTTAAAAGTACAAAATCAAACTCTAAATTATATACCTACTTCAAAATTAACAACTGGTAGAATGAATTTCAATTATAATTTGTGCGAACATGCCTAACAAAAAATATTTTAGTATGTAACTCTATAATTTATAACTGGCGCCATCTATTGTTTGGTGGCCGTTTCTAGCGTATGGCGAATATGGACGTGCAGTCCGCCACGTGTAATTGTATACAATTAATAGCAGTTAAAGCACTAAAAGTCCTGGAAGATTAAAAGGTTTTAATTAAATATGCGTACTTGAAATTTATAAGTAATTCGAAAGAGTGATGCTTGCGCCCTTAAAATAAATTCCACAGCAAACCTGCAGATTTCTAAATTACCAATGTTAATTCAGAATCGTGAGAGTTTAGAACATTGTATCCTAGATGGCGGACACATTTTTTTAACATTTTATCACTTTCTCACAACTTTGCCTTACTTCTTAACTTATTTCGATCCTTTAAATCTTTAATTTTTCTTTTTTTCCAATCATAAATTTACCTACTCATTATTATCCATCAAAACTCTTTTTTTACTCCATTTTATTCTCCGACACACTATAGAAATCTCAAACTAAAACCACACTGGTATTTAGTGAAGATGTAACAATGACGATTGTTGTTTTTGGTACTGTGGGTGCAGAAGATATGGCACAAAATGCGCAGGTTGCGACTTGGGTATACCACCAACTCAAGTAGTCCGTAGAGCTCAAGATAACGTATATCATCTCCAATGCTTCTCATGCGTGATGTGCGCTCGTCAATTAAACACCGGCGATGAATTCTACTTAATGGAAGATCGAAAATTGGTTTGCAAGCCGGACTACGAAGCAGCAAAAAGCAAAGCGGCCGAATGTCTCGACGGTGATCAACCGAACAAACGACCGAGAACCACCATCACCGCCAAACAACTAGAAACTCTCAAAACGGCTTATAATAATAGTCCGAAACCGGCGCGGCACGTTCGCGAGCAATTAAGTCAAGATACAGGATTGGACATGAGGGTGGTACAGGTATGGTTTCAAAACAGGCGGGCGAAAGAGAAACGATTGAAAAAGGATGCTGGAAGAACCAGATGGAGTCAATATTTTAGATCAATGAAAGGCGGATCTAGTCCTAGGCACGACAAATTATTGGATAAAGATGAAATGAAGGTTGATTTGGATAGTTTTAGTCACCATGGTAAGATTTTTTTATTCAGTTTATTAATCATCCGATTTACGAAATCCTAATTTTATTATATCATAAAATTATTACTTAAAAACTTAAAATAATAAACGGATTTTGTAAGTTGGAGGATCAAAGTATCCTATTATTGTTACTAAAAAAGTAATAGGAAAAATGGGGCTTAAAATAAAAATGATAGGTGTTATTAATAAGTTCAATTAAATGATTAAATGCCGATTCACGCTGGATCGGTTTCTTAGCATGAGTTAAACTTCTAATTATATTTGACTAGATATTAAGAAAATTTGGTTAATAGTAGTATTAGTTTTAGCTTTTTTTTGAACCTTTCTTCAACCAAGCCTAGAATATTTTAGTGACTAGACTTTGGCGATGGTTACAAGAAATCACTCAGGCCATTACAGCTGATACCTTTTTTCATCCAAATAACAAATATAGTTGCATTTGGCATTGCAACAGCAGATGTAGTCAAAAATCTTCTTCCAACCAAAGAGCAAACTGGACATTAGGATGCATCTATTACTTCCAGACTATCTAGTCCAATTTGGATTTAGACAAATATTCTATCATTGCAGTATTGTATCGAGTCAGAAGTCTAAATTAATTTTTGGATACATTGATTTGAACATGAGTGGATCTTCCCAGAAATTAAAAAATCTAAATTGTATAGAATTTCGTGACCATTAAGTAGATTGCATAGGACTTTATCTCTGTAGCAGTAAATCCAGTTAGAAATTTTCTTTAAGTAAGATCGCGAATGGACCTTCTGACTACCTAATTGACAACAATGAATCTAGTCAAAAATTTTTTATTTCCAATAGTAGCTAGATGTATCACTGCATTTAACACTGCAGCGATAGTAACTCGTAAGGCTTTTGGTTGGATTAGCACAGCAGCAGTGAAAATAGTCAAACAGCTTATGCATAACTTGAATTCAGTAATATCGTGGTAGTAATATTCTTGTTGTTTGTGAGGTATCAACAAAATTCTCTTTTGATTTAAAAGTCGCATGTATGCCATTTTGTATAGACTATGATATCGTTCAACGTGGCACGGATTCGAGAGGTCCACTGTTCAATGTTTCTGCCGCATCCAGCTAAATTTAAGCGATGGTCTGTGATATGTTGATTTTTAGGGCATCGGTCGATTACGGCTTACTGGTATATACGTGCGACTTCATAAGACCCCACAAGAAAACGTTTAGAAGGGTTAAATTGCACGATCTTGGTGATGAATACACATCATCTTCGCATGAGATAAGCATACTTTCAAATCGTTCATACACAATATCCATTCAGACGTTCGTTGTATGGCACGTAGCGCTATTCTGTTGAAACTACATGTTGTTCACATCCATATCGTTCAATTCGGCCCAAGACAAATCGGTTGTCATTGACCTGTACACAGTAACACAGTAACTTTTTGTGGATGCATTACCACCTCGTAAACATCCTGTGAATTGGCGTTGTCCCAAATAAAGCAATTTTGCTTATTAACATAGCCATTCGTCCAAAACTGCGCCCGGTCACTATAAATGATTTTTCGGTAAAAATTGGGGTCCTCTTCCAAACGCCCCGAAGCTCTCTCAGCGAACAAATGACGTTGTGTATGGTCATTAACTTTGAGCTCCTGGATCAGTTAGGATCTTGTACAGGTACCAACCCAAAGACCAACGCAAAATTTCCCAAGCTGAAGTATGCGAAATCCGACTTCTTGTGCACTGCAAGGAATCGACTGCCTCGGGTTCTGTACACTTTCATGGAGCGGTGATGTTCTCGGCCGATCTGGTGTTCCTTTGGAACGATGCCGCTAACGGACATTAATTTTAATGACATTTCAATCGTGTACCTTGCCGTGATGGTTTGGAGCAACTAAAACAACATGGATGCCACACATTGCCAACCCAACCCTTTATTACCCCAAGCTGGGCTTACGTTAATATAGGTTGAAAGATATCTTGCCTTGTGGAAATATCATCGGGTTTATAATATTTTCTTTATGTGATGTAGAATTCTATTTTATATTCATGTTTTGTTTTTCATGAAGTTATTTTTATATTTTATTAGGAATAGGAATCGAATAGGAATAGGTAGTATTCATCGGAGATATTTCCTATTTGGTATTTCTAAGTGCTTCGACCAGAAGTTAGTAAATACGACAAGCAATTTAATTCTGTTTGGATGTTAGTTTGGTCATCTTTCACTCTACATCTTTACAAATAGGAGCTCACGTAACGGCCTTAGATGTTAAATATTTAAGAAAACATTTTATGATAGTTATCTACATCATTCTGTCTAATGATTCATCTAATGGTTTTCACATCTAATGATTTTAATTAGATGCAAATTTTTCCAATTGGAATTTGTTATGCGGAATGCGAATGTTATAGGGAACGATTTCCTGGCCGTCATTTTTCTGCACATTCCTGTAATGTATCTGACATCCCAACAAGTTGGGATTTATCGGGAAAGCAAATATAGCCAGAATTGTCATAAACGTTTGTCTACATGGGTTGAAAAGTTGCAACTATTAGTGCAGTATTAGAGCGTTATAGCGATGATTTCTCATGAATTAGAATCAGAATTTACTGAAGATGATTTTCAATATCAATTTTTATTGATATTAGTGGAATTATTCCTGTCTGGCTTCATATGTCCCAAACAGATTTACTGATGCAGTGAATAGCAATTTTTGGAAGAATAACTAAAAGATGTGTGTCTAAAGTATATCGATGCTGCCGAGCCAAACCGGCATAAATGATATTTACTTCATTTTTCAGGAAATACAAAAAAGCTTTTATTTGCGCAAACTTTAAACCAATATTGGAAAAAAACTCTTATAGTATCTAGATGAATTTCCAGCTACTTCTTACGCGTTCTTAATGCGTTCATATTTATCTTTTCAATATTTTCTTTATGCCTTAATGATCTCCAGAAGTTCTATTGTGCAGATATAAATCAAAATAACACTGAATTAACAATTATTTTAAAACCACTTACAAACTTTTTTAAAACTTTCCCGTGTTTATTCCGTATTTAAGGAAAGCATCAATGGCCTGGTAATTAGAATCTGTGTCAAGAATGAATTTGTTAGAGCATATCTGTAATACTATTTACAACGCTGGGGAATAGTAATTTCGCTGTTTTAAATCTGCGATTTGTTTTCGACTTAATTTTGACTTCTGGATCCAAAAATAACCATGGTTTTCGTCTATCACGTCAACTTTTTAAGCCACTGGACACACTCAAAAGTAATACAAATTGTGCATATAAAGAAACTAAAGTAAAAAGTTCCCAAATATACTGTTTATAAAGCGAGCTCTGCTATCTTGCAAAAAAGGATATTTGGTATATCAACGTTGCTGGCCAAGAAGGAAGCAGACCATTTGAAAGTCAACACAAACGATCTATTGGTGCATGTGATATTGTAACAAATCAATGATTCTCTCTATCTCTTCATATTCTTCACTCAAACGAACTAAAGGGCCTATCGGAACTGAACTAAATAAATCTCCATTATATAGGAGAAGATATTCAAGCTCCAAAAAGTTTTTTGGATACTCCCAAATCGTTCCAAATCATTCAACTCATTCTGTTCAAAATCCTTACAAACGGAATCATCTTCAATTTCAAAATCCATATCGTAGAAGATACTTCAAATCGTATTTACAAAAAAGAATTCATTGCAAACTGTCACTGGGATTTATATTACTCTATTTTGCATTGTTTTGTACGTTTTCACAATACAAAATTAACAATCACTTGATTGATCTCTGGGCTCTTACCAAATCACAGCACTTACAATGCAAATGTCTGCAAATTTCAGAGCGACACATAACATCACTATACATAGTATCTCAGATGCAACAGAATAAGTCCAGATTCACGACTTGTTAGATTACTTGCTATTCCATTGCTTGTTCATGCGGAAGGCATGCCTTCGGTTTTTACACGCCGTCTCAAAGTCAAAGAAAAATTTGGCAGACACCATTGTTTAGACGTTTAGGCGTTATGAGATCAATTCATCTACTTGTTTTACCTCTACCTCACTGAGATTATTTCAACCATTTTCGTAAGTACATCAACTGTTGGAAGTTAACTGTTTTTTTCTTCTTAGATCCACTTTTTATCCACTTTTCATTGAACATATTTTGCCAGCTACAATCAATTTATGTAAAACCCATTTTCTGGGCTCGTCTCATGGCTTTCAAACGTATGGAAATGGTTTCTCGTGTCACTTCCATCCACGAGTTGTTGCTTATGAGCGTCACTCTCATCCAACAATGCTTTTAGGTGGTTAAAGGGTTTTTTGTTTCTTACGTTAAAATCACCACATTTCCGTTTTTAAACAAGTTCCTTTCATATTAATTATATCCATGCTGTCATCATCGTATAGTCTTCTATCCCATATAATCATAACTCTATAAATAGTCACTTCCTTACTTTATCGTCATATCCTTTTTCTTTTTGTCTAATATCGAATCGACTTTTTTAAAAATTTATTATTTCTTTTTCCATATAATCACCACCATTCCATTATCTTCACTTCCCTGCACACGGTTCCATTTCCTTACCATTCTCTATTGGGAAATGTAAGCTAGCTTTTCTTCGTTACACTTTTTTCAATTCCTTTTCTACAATAGATAAGAAAATCTGTTATGCACACGCCCGGCCAATGCATCTCGCCCACACGGTCTATATTAAACTGTTTTCCGCTTTTCTTTGTGCATATTTGTCTAGCTAAATAGTAGAAAACAAGTAGTATGATGAGAAGTTTGATTGTTGAGCTGGCATTTATTGACATGAGCCTTCGCTATATATTTTAGGTATATTCAGTGTATCTTATGCATATCATGCATTTGCGTGTTGGACATATTGATGCACGTGGATATCTTGAAGTCTTCTCTATGAAAAAGGTTAGAGTTTTATTTGCAGTTACCTTAATTCCATTTTCTTGGAAATAACTTGTAACCAACGTGACAGCACAGTTTTCTACAGTTTATGTACTTGTAAAAAAGCATAATATGAACTACTCATTTTTATTAGTATAGCCCACACCATCAATGTTTGTAAATACTGCAAAATCTAGATTAAGCACAGATTAACTAACGTTTTTGGATTAATGTTTAGATCTCAGTGATGATAGTTATGGAACTGTTGTTAATATGGGAATAGACCAAGATGGATCATCGCCTCATAGTGGAGCAGGAAGGGGGCCATCTTTTCTGCATGGCGGGGCATCACCTTCGTTTATTCCAGGACATACACCCCCGCACGGGCACGACCATTTTCCATACGCAGATCAACTTTACACATCTATTGGTAAGTGTTAAACCGTTAATACATTCTTTTAAAAGTTTAAAATGCATAATGTTTTTATCTTGCGAAGTTATTACTGTTGTCTTGTAAAATGTAAGGTGACATAAAAATCATTTTAAGATTGAGTTTTGAAATTGCTGAAGATATAATTAGCGATAATTGATTTATAACATGTATTAAAAGGCATGTAGATTAACTCTCCGTCATCAGGAGCAATCGTTTACCCAAAAAGTTGGAAAGAGACTACTCTTCCAATTTGAATTGATTGCTCCAGATCATGGGAAGGATGTGACGATAGAGGCACAGAATAAGTTATTCTGTGGTAGAGGCTTGTGGAAATGTTTTTGGACAAGCCATCTCACCCATGATTTTATGTAAAGGCTAACAACAAAAACCAAGCTGTCAAAAACCACCATAACATATGTTCAATGGGTGAATCACTTTGCGAAATACAATGAGAAGAAGATTTGGACATATTCTATGTAACAGTCCATTTAACTCAGAACATCTACCAGATGCCACATATGATAATAGTTCACTGAGTGATACACCGGTAAAATGTTACGATTTTATATGATATATCTAAGTATCTAACACTGCTTCTCCTGCAGATAATGGTAGTATGAGTCTGATTCAAATTGGACAAATTCCAACACAAATCTTTTGTGTGTTTTCAAAAATAAAACGTGAATCAACATAGCAGAGGCTGTAACAATGACGCACATATTATATTATTCGCAATATTAGTACACAATACAACGAAGCATTATTTTTTAATCCCTACTGCGAACATGAATCATCTGCTATTTGAAGTACGAGGAATCTATCTTTTACCTCATTGACGTCAGCTGAGTCCTTCTGGAGAACGTGGATAAGAAACGTCGATCACTGCCACGTACGATTTGGTGATAGTGAATAAGATCGTCAACAAGTACGGTTTTCAAGTTGATATCGAACAAACTAAGAGGCCTCGAGGATTTTGCACTCGAGCATCCATGATAAATGGAATTGATATTGTGGTTACTTAAATTTTGTTCTCTGATAAAGGCCGTTCGTTCTCCAGTTCTTCAGTATTTTTAAGGTTTTCCAAAGGGGTCAATGCACATACATCTGACCGTTTGATGACTGAGAGTTCATGATATTTTTCATAGAATCTCTGTCAACAGTTTCTTTTGAACTTTCTTTGAAAAACGTTGCAACATAGTATCCGATACGTCAAACAGAGTTTTAATAGATATAGATATACAGTCTATTTGTGTTCTGCTGTTTGCTACCACAAGGATTAAAAGGTTGTAATGTAAGCATATACTTTGGCTATTTTTTCATTATTATATTCCAAAAGACCGGTGTACAAACAGAAGTTTTTATTGTTGTGTACCTATTCTGGCAGTAACTTCTAAAGACTAAATGAGGTTGTTAAACGCTCCTGAGATATCAATAAAAACTGCCAGGATATATTTCTTTTCCTATTCACTTATATAGCTGATTATTACCTCTTCCGCAGCCTCTTCTCAAATGCGTATGGCAGGTAGATTTATCTCTACGATATTGAGTTGAATCTTTATCTGCAGTATAAAAACTTCCTCTTTTTTATATGTATATATTTTTAAATATGCTCTATTCTACACAAACGTTGTAAAGATAAGAAGACAGAATTAGTGTAGTTCCTGACCCTTTTGTTTTAGCAGTTCACTTGGGATGTTGTCTCGTCCATGTATCATTCCCATGTTTACTTCTGCAATCTCTCTCTTTATCTTCCACGCTTCAAGTAACTTTATCACTTCCCTTGCATTATAATTAGCTGTTAGTTTTGTCCTCATATCCATTCATCATCGCCTATAGTCTTCAAAGCTTGTCATCTCGAAGAAAGAAGTTAATGTGCGTATCGTCTTTTCTCAACTTGGATGACCTAGGTCTATAAATGTCCAAATAAAGTTGTGTAAAAAATATTATCTTTGTTGTATTATACTCGTTCTGTATTTCTCTTCTACCAATCTGTAATTGAGCAGTATCCTTTATCTTTTGTTGGCTTCTGATCATTTGTTTTGAAACGTTAATTCCAAAAATCATAAAGCTTACTGGATCCCTTAGTTAACTTAAGCACACTAATATCTATTGTTGTTTTTGTATTTTTCGCCAGAACAAAGTTCTGAGTATTTCTTACCTTTTTAGTTACCATCTATGCAATTATCAAGTCTTCTTTCGACCTGGTCCAGTTTTCCTTCTTCAGGTAGTATCTTTTGTTCCCAGCCGTTTTTATCTGCTCTAACTTTTATCAACCAGGTTTAACTACTTCCTACATTATTAGGTGTTGTCTGCATGTGAAAATGACTTTTGCGCGACATCTTGAGCTAGTCATGCATTGAAAGGCGTTTTCAAAATCTATCGGGTTTAAATTGTGATTTTCTCATTTACGATGTCATTTTAATAATTATTATTATAATTTTTAATTAACTGTTATTTATATTTTAGGTCAAAGTCATCAGCCAGGAATGGGTTTACCGCACGGTATGCCACCAGGAGCTGATACGGATATAAGCAACGATAGCAGTCCTCGAGGCTACCCGGATTTTCCTCCAAGTCCTGATTCGTGGCTTGGCGAACCGTCCAACGCTCACTACTGACCTCTGTTGTTGAGACAACGAACTAAAACGAACTAAAAACAAAACCGAACTATATGTATTATCGTTTTCTGTTTCGTTAAATTTTTATCGGGAAATACAGCAAATCGATTTACGAGTGAAACATTAAAAATAAACAAATATAGAAAGACGAATGCGTGCAACAAAAAGAATACACCGAATTTCAATATAAAAAAAGGTGTACTTGTGAAGAGACTTTTGCGTGAGTTAAATAAATTAAACGTAACGTTCCTTTATGTTGTATAAAGTAAATATAGTTATATTATTATTCTAGTCAAAAAAGGAAAAAATGAATCTAAATGAGGAAACGTGTCCATTTAAAAAATAATAAAGATACAAAAATCTAGTCGTCGAGTATTGTTTTTCTTTTGAATAAAATATGATGAAATAAGACTGTTTTTTTATTACACATCACAAAAATTTTAATTTTATTATACATATTATTTGGAGAAACGTAAAGTTCAGCCAAATAACCGCTGAAATACTAGCAATTGACGGAAAATCGCAAATTCTTATTGGTTAACGTTATGAATTGAAACGTTAGAGTGTTGAAAATTACACCCGTACACGAAGCAAATGAATAATGGTATTTCAAAATTTGAAATTACCATATAGTAGAAACACACTGGTTACAGGTAGGTCACAAAGATCACAAAGAAAGAAATCTGTAACGATGATTCTCAAAAATTCATTATTTCAAACCTAATAAACGAATGCAACGTATACACCTTGTTTTATAGATCTTTCATGTATTATATCTATAAGATCTATGATGTTTATGATGATACGTTTCTCAATTAACCCAGATATGCCCATACAAATTTGGTGGTTGTTTATGAATAGATGTTCTGAGAGGTTAGTGTTTAAGCTATACATAAACAAATTTTGTAAAGCAAATTAAAAATTTATTTTGAAAAATACAAAATTCAAGCCGTACTATATATAATACGGCATTTAACCCATTTAGTCCCACTGGTGTAAAAACGCACCAGCGTTTTTAAAATTATTTTACAGCCATACATTTCCAAATTTAAAGGTGTTAGCTGTTTGTACGATAACAGTATAAGGTTGTTAGGCTATACATATCAAAATATTTCATAATTCTTGCTATTTAAACCATATTTACATCAATTCTTTTCTATTGAACATTTCTGTTCAAAATATACAATGAAAATAAAACTATTTTTAGTGCATACTTTCCTCATTATATATCTTGAAACGCGAAATAAAAATATGGATTCTGAAAATACGACTTGAAACATTAATGGTGCAAAAACGCACCATTGGGACGATGTATGAAGAGATATAAGGATTGCATCATCTTTCGTATTATTTGAAACCAGTTTAAACGCGTCTGTTAGGTGAATTTCGGAACGAATTGAGTCATTTATGGAATACTGCGTTAAGAGTGTGTTTTTGTGCAAAATGTCTCGATTTCTCACAAAAAGGGAATTAGATGCTTCTCTAGAAGAAATTGTTAATGAAATAGAGAGAAAGGGAGGTAATTCTTATATTATTTTGTTGTGGTTTAAAATTTATTTTTCTCCTCCGGTTGACTACCTAACAGATGAGGAGTGAGAATTATTTTTTTATATTTCGATGATGAAATGCTAAATTTAATTATTAACTTTTCTTTAAAATACGCACACGACAATAATCGACCAAACTTTCGTTTAGACAAAGAACAATTATTAAAATTTTTAGGTATTGTTTTACTTTCTGGATATCACACATTACCAACAATTCCTATGTTTTGGTCTAATGAAGAAGACAAAGGGGTCGAAATTGTCAAAAAAACCATGAGTCGTAATACATTTCAGAACATAAAACGAAACCTTCATTTATCAGATAACAGTCTATTAGATTCATCTGATAAATTTGCAAAAATACGACCATTCCTTCAGCTTATAAACAAAAAAAATTTACAATTTGGTGTTTTTAGTCACAATTTATCTATTGATGAACAAATGGTTCCATATTTTGGGCGCCATTCATGTAAAATGTTTATCAAGGGTAAACCGGTAAGATTCGGTTTCAAAATTTGGTGTTTATGTTCATCTGACGAATATTTATTTCACTTTGAACCTTACGCTGGAGCCGCAATGAAAACGGGAAAATCAAAATTAGGCTTGGGTGGTGAAATAGTTATGCAATTACTCTCTGTAGTGAAAAATCCTCATGTTCATCGGATACTTTTTGACAATTTTTTTCATCGTTTGATTTATTTGTTGAATTGAAAAATAAAGGTTTTTTTGCTACCGGTACTGTACGCGATAACAGAACGAAAAATTGTCCGTTAGAAAACATAAAATGTACTTCAAAGAAGGAAAGGGGTTTTTTTGATACAGCTTATAATACCTGTTCAAAAATTTCTTTAGTACGATGGAATGATAACTCCGTTGTCACTGTAATTACTAATTACTAACCATTTGAATGTGGAGCCAGTACAATCAATTAAGAGGTACAACAGAAAGAAAAAAAAAGGAAACACTAGTTAATCAACCTTATGCAGTATCAGAATATAATAAATTCATGGGTGGTGCAGATTTACACGATAACGGAATAGCCAACTATAGAACAAGAGTATTAGGAAAGAAGTGGTGGTGGCCACTATTTATTAATTCATTGGATAGTGTCATAATAAACGCGTGGAAATTATACAATACTGTCAATAATACTAAAATGGCACAATTGGATTTTAAATCACATATTGCAGTTCGGCTAATGAAATATGAAAACGCAACACCTAGTACTGAACGAAACACGAGGTCAAACAGAGAATTTGAATCTTCCAATGACCATTTAATAAAGAATCACGACTCTAAAGCTCGTAGAAGATGTAAAATATGCCATAAACATACTATACATATGTGTAGTAAGTGTAATGTTCATTTACGTGTAGAGTGTTTTACGGACTATCACAATAAATTGTTATACTGTTAATCCCATTGGTGCGTTTTTACACCAATTTTAGTTTAAATATTTTTTTACCAACTAAAGTTTTTTACCAACTAAAGTTGGTATTTGTTAGTATAATGTTGTATTAGTATTATTATTTATTTACGACTAATTTATTACATAGTTAATAAATGATAATCAAAATATTTGTGTGCTGTTGTTCACTTATCTTACCAGTGGTGCATTTTTGCACCATCTGATATCTCAAAAACAATTTTTTGTTTCAAACACCTGTGTACATTTTTATACTTTTCATTCCATCTTATCTTAAGGAAAACTATAAAAAAACAATTTTTTTAAACATAAACCAGCTTGGGACTAAATGGATTAAGGAGTAACAAATCTAATTGTTAGTTTGTGTATGATATGAAAGGAAACACTTCACGTGTAGACCCTTTTCACACTTCAAACATCTAGTGGTGGTCTTCTGATGATAATGGACCCATTTAGTCTGCTTATCTTGAGGTATGACGTAGTGGTCCCTGTGAGCAAAACGAATATCTATACCTTCATTACGTGACGTATGTCCTCTTGAAGTCGTTTGATTTTTATTCTGCAATAGCAGTGTGGTGGCAATTCTTCTTCTAAATTTTAGCTGATCAAGTGTTCCATCACTTCTCCTTTGTAGTTGCCAGGCGTTGTGGACTGACATGTCAATACCATGCGCTATAAGAGGGAAATACTATTTTTTCCCTCTGACATATATACGATAAAGGCTCAAATTTTGATCATATCTGTCGACACCTCCCATATTGGCGTTGTATAAATTGACTAAATGTTACCCGAATAATTTTCTTTTCTTTTCGAGAAAATCTTTTTGCAGAATGAATTGGATTCACCCCTGCTGAATTTGAACATAAAGTGACAATACTATTGTCATGCCATTTTACAACAATTATATTTTGGACATCAACATTTTTATAATCGTAGCATCCCCTTGGCTCTTTCTTAATTTTTTTAGAATCCATCAGAGGACTAGCTGGTATACGGTTTTCACGAATGGTGCCTGTACCTCTCAAATTTTTATTGGATAGAAGCTCCAACAGCGGCAAGTTGGAAAAGAAGTTGTCAAAAAAAAGTGTATTGGTTCATTAGGCCATTTTGTTGACGTGCCTTGGTACGGCTCGAACCAGTTGACATAGCCCAGTCATGTTGCCCCTACCCACAGTTTATATCCATATCGGATGGGTTTGCCATGTATAAACTTTTTACAGCCATAATGACCAAAGTATGGTACCATGGCACCAACACATTTTGACTGTCTCTTTCATACTACCAGTACATTCTCCTTCTTGGTACTTGCATGTATCCACTGAGTAATAGTACACCTATGAATGCTTTTATTTCTGTTTTTTCTATTCTTAGGTGGTGATTCTTCTGATTTGCATAACGATTACTTTCGATTACTATTAGATCCAGTATTTCATCATCAAAGAAAAGTGAAAATAGCTCCAAAGGACTTATATCGTTATCATTTTCATCTACTTGGCCATTAAAACTTATATTATTAGGCTCCAAGTTGTTATCCGTCCATTTATAACTTTTCCTTTTTTTCGTAATTTTTTCTACCCTTGCTTTCTACCCTCAAGGCTGAAAGAGGAATTTCGTCGTCTGAAGAAAAATCATCATCATTCTTTTGATTTTGATTCTGGCAGTCAATATTTCGGAAATTTATTTCAGCTGGAGCTTGAAGTTGTGGTCCAGGTAAATTATTTAGGTTTGTGGCATCATCCTCTCCAGAATCTTCATCGGTTTGATCTCCGCAAACATTCTCTAGTGGAAAATGGTCAAAGAATCGACATTTTCTGCCAGTTCGTCGTCATCTTCTAACATTGCCAAAGCCTCGTTTAACGAAAAACCTCTAGAATAATAGAAAAAATAAGAGGTATCCGAATGCCCACCGTCCTACATATAGTACACATAAAAAAATCGGGTTGAAACAATACTCTAATAAATTTTAAAACTAATTTGGAGATAATATATCTAAAACTTGGTACTTTTGCCTTATTATCCATAATGAATAATAGAAAAATAGATAATACAATATATAAAAAACTACTTACCTAACAAATCGTACACAGTATTTCGCCATTAATGATATTTCACAAACTTTAAAAAATAACAATGAGAGTAATTAACACTTAATTGCAAACCTATGCACCTTTACGCAACCACTACTTCTTACTGAATGCCTGTGTGCACCCGAAATGCCACTTCGACTCATGTTCGGACACGTTGAGACATGTATTTGCGTGTACTATATGTAGTACGGTGGGCATATCTGGGTTAAATTTATAAAGCTTTACTACAAAATCTTGAAAAAGACTTTGACTGCTGAAGTTGAGCACAAATTGACAATACTATAGTAATGCAATATCACAACGATTATATTTTCGCTATTACTTCTTTTTATATTCGTAGTATTCCCTTACTTT